AGATTATTACGGTGTGAGAATGTTGAAGTGACAGCGAATAGAGGATGTCCACAGGGTTCCAGTTTGGGTCCGGTTCTGTGGATAATCGGGATGAATGAATGGTTCTATAAGGTGGGAAATTGTTTGGATGAGGAAACTGATTTGCTACAGGCGTACGCAGACGACCAAATAGTACTAATAGGTGAGGTGTCCGTTAAGAAAATTGAGAGGAGGTGGGAGGCGGTATGGGAAGCGTGTAGGTCGTGGGCGGAAGAGTGCAAAGTGCAATACGCAGGGGAAAAATTAGAGGGTATTTTTTGCTCGAAAAAGAAAATTAGAGGACCTGTGCTGCGTACGTCTGTGGCGACGGTTAGGATGGGTAATGTGGTAAAATATTTGGGTGTGTTGATGGATCCGGCTCTGCTCTTTATTGAGCATGTGCGGTATGTTAGAGGAAGAGTGGCTGGTATGTTAGGAAGAATGGCGGTGATTGCGGGGAAAGAGTGGGGTGTGCGAATGGAAATGAGGAAGATGATAGTGGAGAGGGTCGTGTTGCCGGGCTTACTATATGGCATGGAAATATGGGGCATGAGAGCTATGGACTCAAGAATAGTAAGATGCCTGAACGCGGCGGTGCGACCCTTTCTTCTATGGGCGACTGGGGCTAACAAGACGGCGCCGACGGATGCTTTGGGAATAGTATTGGGGATACCCCCGCTGCAACTAATGGCCAAATATGGTAGAGAAAAATGGGTGAACCAGATAAAGGGTGAATGGGAAATGAAATGTAAAGGAAGCGAGTGGTGTAGGAGCTGGAGAAGAGAGGAATGGGATGAAGAAGACGAGGGCGAGAAAGGAATAGAAGTATTTACAGACGGAAGTAAAGGAGAGGAAGGCGTATATGTGGCATTATATGGCATTATATGTGGCCAGAAAGAACGGAGAAAATACGGACAAGGGTAAGAGGCGCATCAGTGACCATGCCACAGTCCTGCAGGCGGAGTTGCAGGCGATGAGATTGGGGATGGAGTGGATATGTGGACAGAGTAGTGGCAGTTTTTGCATTTGTAACGATAATCGCCTTGCTGTTGAAAAGATATGCGGAATGGGCATGAGGAGCGTGGAATTGAATGAGGTGCTACAGGTGCTGGAGAGGGCCGCTTCTGGAGAAAGGATAATTAAGGTGGAGTGGCGATCAAGAGCCGAAGAAGGGATGAGGTCGGTTGACGAATGGGTAAAGACGGGTAGGGAGAATTGGGGGTACAGGAAGGTTTGTAAGGCGAGAGGAACATTCCGAAAGGAGCAAAGAATTAGGCTGACGAGGGAATGGAGAGAAGGCTGGAAGACATCTAAGGTGGGAAGAACTGTGTATGGATGGCTAAAGTGTGAATGGGTAGGTGAAACGGCGATGTCGGCTAAAGGGATACAGTTACTCAGTGGGCATGGGCCATTCAACAGTTATTTGAAACGGTTTGGTTTGAGAGAGGGTGATGGAAGATGTGTGTGCGGGATAGGGGAGGATACACTCAACCACATTTTGTGGGAGTGTACCGATCCTAGGCGAGTAAGTTGTAGGGAGCGTGTGATGACTAGGCGAAATGGGGAGGGAAGGGGGGAATGGAAGGGTATTGAAGGGGAGCAGGATATGAGGGATTGGAATGGATTAGCCGCGGGTATGGTGTTTTACTATGATGGCGATGAATTCGGTTAATAAACTACGATTGCTATTGCATCATTGTTTGGTTGCTCTCTCTACTTCTAATCTCATGTTTTATATTGTATTGTATTTTGATTTATATTGTACTGGTGCACATGTACACCTATAGTATAAGGCAGGGAAGGGAAAAGAAAAAAAAAAGAGAAAAGAAAAGAAAAAAAAAGGGAAAAGAAAAAGAGAAGAGAAGAGGAAAAAAAATTAGCAGATTTTCCCCGACCTCGTTAAAAAAAAAAAAAAAAGGGTGGAAAAAGGGAAAGAGGGATGATCTATTAATTTTTTGTTGTTTAATTTTGTTTAAATTTAATTTGTGTACCGGAATATTACGTTGTTTTTAATTCTCTTATGAAATTGCTTCATTGTATTATATTTGTAATATTTTTTTTTGAATTATATAAAATTGCTTATTTACATTACGTACATATGGTGCCTCTGTGTCGCGGATCGGTTTATTATATTTTTGTCTTTGTTTTATTTCTTTTTTTGTTTTAATAGCGGAGTATTTTATTTTGTTTTTGTATTTTTCGAACGATGATTTTCTTGTTTGATTTTGATTCATTTTCTGTTGTTTTGTTTTGTTTAATTTTGTTGCGGTGCATTTCTTTGTTTTTTTTTTGTTTTTTTTTAAATTCCTTTTGGAATTATATGAAAAATGCTTATTTACATTATATACTCGATTCTTGGGTTGTCGCGGAATACAAGCACATATGGTGCCGCTTTGTGATGGATTTGTTATTTTTAGTGTAGCGGATTTGTTTATTTTCTTATTGTAGCGGAATTGTTTAATTTATTTTATTTTGTAGCGGAGTTGTTTATTTTATTTTATTTTTGTAGCGGTGTATTTCCTTTGCGTTTTCGATCGCTAATTTGTATTAAACTGTGTATGTATTATTTTGAGAATGAAAAATAAATTTGGTCTTCTCCCGCTGATTTTTGGAAGGCGGAGGAGGTGGGTTCTCTTGGGGGTGGTGGTGCTGGATGGTGGGGCGACGGGTCGCATACCGCAAGGTGGGTCGACCGTGATCGCGCACTTGGCGTGATCACATACATTCAATGCCCGCAGGGAGGAGTGTTATCTCCCCTGCTTTGGTCCCTCCTAGTTGACGATCTGATTGCGATAGTCGAAGCCGTTGGTGTGGAAATACAAGCTTATGCTGATGACATTGTCGTTATGGTCAAAGGAACCTGTTTGCCGAGGATATCTAAAGTCCTCCAGGTGACCCTAGATACCATTTGCGCTTGGTGTAAGGGAGAGAACCTCTCAATAAACCCGCAAAAGACAATTGTTGTGCCCTTCACCAGGAAGCGAAAGTTGGATGGACTAATCCGCCCAACTATCCAAGGTGAAGAAATTCCTTTCTCAAAGGAAGTCAAATATCTAGGAGTAATCCTAGACAAAACCCTGTCATGGAATGGACATTTGCAGGGAGTTTTGCACAAAGCTAGACTATCCTTGTGGACTTGTCGCAGTCTTTGTGGAAAAAATTGGGGTCTTACCCCTGAAAGACTGTACTGGCTCTATGTGACTGTGGTTAGACCTATGATCACATACGGAGCAGCAGCCTGGTATAGGAAAGTCCGACAGACTTCAGTTATCAGTAAACTTTCACGAATTCAACGAGTAGCTGGATTGGCAATCTCTGGTGCGATAGGCACAACGCCAACTCTAGCAATGGAGGTTCTGCTTGGCCTATCTCCTCTGCATTTGCATATAGAGAAAGTGGCTAGAACAACCATTTACAGATTTAAGCAATATGCTCAAAACTGTTCCGACATGTCCTACCAATGGGCTGCGGAAGACATTATAAGCACTGATACTGTGCTATCAATGCCGTCAGATTTGGCGG